ATTACACCTGAGTGATGTACTCAAAAGTAAAAACTGTCATCTCACCCAGTTGAACTTGTCCGTGAATGAAATAACTGATCAAGGTGCATTACACCTGAGTGATGTACTCAAAAGTAAAAACTGTCATCTCACCCAGTTGAACTTGTCCGTGAATGAAATAACTGATCAAGGTGCATTACACCTGAGTGATGTACTCAAAAGTAAAAACTGTCATCTCACCCAGTTGGACTTGCAGGGTAATGGAATAACTGATCAAGGTGTATTACACCTGAGTGATGCACTCAAAAGTGAAAACTGTCATCTCACCCAGTTGGACTTGTATGGTAATGAAATAACTGATCAAGGTGTATTACACCTGAGTAATGCACTCAAAAGTGAAAACTGTCATCTCACCCAGTTGGACTTGGGCAATACCAAAATAACTGATCAAGGTGTATTACAGAAAACTGTCATCTCACCCAGTTGGTCTTGTCCATGAATCCAATAACTGATCAAGGTGTATTACACCTGAGATGTTTTAGTGACCTTAGAATAACTGTATAAGTAGAGTGAATGCTCCTGTTTGGCAAGCACTAAAAACGGGAAAAAATGTGGATTAGATGATATCACTATTTTTCAATTGATTTTCAATTATTTTTTATTTTTTATTTTATCATGCTTTTAGTGTTTGCACTCTAATTCAGGTAACAAAAATAGCATAAAATAGGTGATAAGACATGTTAGTATAAACATACTAATGGTCTATCACTCATACTGCTCTGTGATTGGCTACTCTACTAATGGTCTAATTTGTGATAGACCACTCGCGGGAAAATCAAAATGGTGGCATCTCATTAATAAATGATTTTAAGGATATTTCAATTTGTTTTCATTATTTGACCGATTAGTATGTTTATACTAAAACAATTAGACCTCTCAGCCTCGTGGACTACAAGCTAATAGCCCATACGGCCTCGCGGACTCGGCCTCATGGGCTATTAGCTCGTAGTCCACTCGACCTCGAGGTCTAATTGTTAATTAGACTGGTTTTAATACACCCGTGAAATACACTTTAGCGTACAATAATTATTTGTGATGAGTCTTATTTTGTACGTTTTTTTTCTTGCACGATCTTTTCTTTGCATTACACATTATTGCACTGTGACTGTTTCACGAGTGAAGCCATTAAACCCGTGAACAATATTTAATGACAACAATATATAATAATATACAAAAGAAAGCAATGGCATTAGAGCTTGCTAAGGTGTATTAATGTAATTCACAGGATTTTTGACTCAGAAATCCATGCTA